GTTCCATGTGCACTCATTTCATTAGTGAGACAACATGAATGAAACGATACAAAAAGACAAAATACAAGGTTCTGAGTGTCAATCAAAAGCTCAGTGTTATGTTACCTCACACCTGTTCGGATGGCCACCAGCAAAGAAAGGAAGGGATGAGGAAAGGGAGAGAGAAACAAAGGAAAAGAGGGAGGAGGTGAAGTAGGGAGGAAGGGAGAGAGGAAGGGAACAAAACAACTATCAGTGAAAATGTGGAGAAACTGGAGCTTGTGAAATATGGAAAACTGTACGTAGTGTCTGCAAAACACTAAAAACAGAGTCAGCCATGGCAGCACACATCTTTTAATTCCAGCATTTAGGAGACCAAGGCAGGCAGAACTCTGTGAGTTTAAGGCCAGCCTGGTCTACATAAAAAGTTCCAGATCAGCAAGGACTATACTGTAGACCTCGTCTCAAGAGAAAACGAAATTAAAACCAGAATTATCATAAGATCAAGCAATCCCATGTGGGCATATATCCAAAACAACTGAAAGATAGATATTTATATTGAAGAGTTTGCTCATATGATTCATCACAGCATTATTCCTATTGGCTAAGAGGTAAATGTGACCTAAATGTCAATTGATGGATGAATGGATAAAGGTAATGCGGCAAAGAAGAGAAAGTTATACACGCTGCAGTGTGACAAGCCTCCGGGACATTAAGTAAAGCAAGCCTGTCATAATAGGACAAATACTGCATGATTCCAATATAAGGAACAATTCATTTGGAGACAGAGGTAGAATGGTAGTTGCTGGGCACTGTGGGGTAGGGGCAGATAGAAGTCAAATCACTGTTCAACACTTTACAGAGTATCAGTCTTGTAAAATGAAATTTTTCTGGAGCTCTTTTGCATAGTCATGAGCCTACAGTTATTGTGATGGTCAGTCCTGATTGTCAGCTTGATAAGTTTATAATCACCATGGAAACAAACCTCTGGGCCTGTCTGAGTGACTTTCTAGACTTGGTTCATTCAGGTGGGAAGACCCACGCTAACTGTGCTGCTGCAGCCTCATTCCATGGGCTAGAGTCCTGAACTAAGTAAAACTGAGAACGTGAACTGAGCAGCAAAGTTCATCACTCTCTGCTTCCTGACTACAGATGAATTGTGACCATCTGCTTCCAGGTCCGGCCGTGTGACTTCCCCACTAGGAGGGACTGTGTCCTCCAACTGTGAGCCAAAATAAATCCTTCATTAAGTTACTTTTGTTGGGTACTTTGTTGCAACAACAAGCAAATTAACTAATACAACTATATGCTGTATACTTGAAATTGTTGATGGCAAATGTTGCATTTTTATCATAATAACAAAACCAAACGCATTTTGAAAAATCTTAGTTTTACTATCTAATAAACAAAAACATACCTATTATAATGCTTGAAAATTCTGGGAAAAAAATACAGTGTTGTGGTCTTTTGCACTTTTTAATATACTAAATACCATGCATTTAGTTTAGTGGAACAAATAAAAGCAGTCTTTGGAACTACCAGGATTCCAACTTAATTTTCACGCCATTTGGAATTTTTCAACGACTCACGAGGTACTGTGATAGCGTGTTGCCCAGTTCCGCCATTCCGATGGTCAGGTGAGTCCAATAATCAAATCCTTTCCCAAATTCAAAGCTGGAAAACTCATCATGAGCAACTGTGTCAAGGGAAACCACCAGCAGAGCATCAAGTC